CCTTACAGTTCCAGTGTGTAATTCTAAACGTCTTTCCAAGATTCGGCCTCGCTCGGTCAACCTCACGAGCATCTGCGGTAATTCACGGTATCGCGTAGACGGGTAGGCTTTCCAGTCGTCAATGCGACCAGAACCTGCTTTACGAAGACCTTGGTCGTAGTGGCCGATGAGACCGTTGGTCATAATCCAACTATTCGGCTTAATATTGCCTTTCCCAATTGGGATTCTTTGATGGTGACTTCGCCTGGCGATGACTCGTCTTTTTAAAGCTGACACAGCTGCTGAAACGCTTGGCTTTAGAACTTTGATTGAGCTGGCCGGGTTCGCTGTCTAAGCCCTCTCATGTTATTGTCGTCGATGGCCCTTGAACGTACGTCCAATGGCTATTTCCGCCTTTTCGTTATTAGAATCTTACTCCTAAAAAACCTTATCATTCTTGTAATGTCGTCAGAGATCTCCCGGCCATTTCGTCTTTATAATTGTACCATCCGTTCTCGACGAGTGGACGTTGTAACAAAGGGAACGGAAGAACCTAAAATTTCGCAATTTCTCAACTCGTTTTTTTCGCAATAATATCACCTGCCACTTTGCGGTTTTATCCGAAAAGAAGAATGAAGAACATATAAACTTCTGCTTCTGCACACCAAGTGATTGACGTCTCCAAAAAATGTTCCGCCTAGTTGTGATATCTGTCCTTTTGAAATGTCATGCATTCGTGACAATCAGTCTGTAAAAGCACTGCAACTGTAGATGTTGTTAATATACTTTTCTAGCTTACATATGATGTTGTCGATGCCCATTTTCACCAATTGTAAGTTACATTTCGTTAAGAAGAATCTCTCATAGCGCGGGATTGAGGGGCTGCACAATGCTAGCTCCCCACCACCGTTTTTTTGGTGGTGGAGAAAGGTCAGGTCGTTCAAAGGTCTCTCGAAGATATCTCATTTTATGGTCAGTGGTGCCACGTATTTATTTGTAGACATTTGCCCTTTCAATTGCATTATTCGATGAAATAGGAACGATAACGGGAAATAATGCAGGTTCCTACTCCGTGAAAACACGGCATGCTTTTGCGGCCAGTGTTTTTCGTGAATTTAGAATCATAGTTTATCTTTTTTTCGTTCTTACAGAAAAAAAGAACTCTCCGGTAGCTGCCAGCCAATAAGTACGAGATAACCTCGTAAAGAGCGATTCATTCGGAGACAGCCAGAGTACTTCAGAATTGGCATCAGACATATTAATTAGCAGTGGCTAGCAAATCCTTTTCCGGGCTTATGAACTCGATAGATTAAATGCGTCTAAGACTAAAACTTGTTTTTTATTGATTCATCCTGACAAAAAATCATTGATCAATCATTGTAGACAGTGGTTCCCGGTCAAAGCTTCGTTGCTTTATTATGTCATATGCTTTTATCGTTGCAGAGAAATTCTAGCGTCTGCGGTACCGAACCATCCAGAAGCGTTTTTTATTTCCCGATTCGCTTTCACTTTGTAGTGTTATGAGTAAATGGCTGTTGTTTTTCGTTGCTAGCCTTCGAGCTAACTACGAAAACGTGCTTGATTCTCTAATAGGTGAGTGGAACTTATGAAAGAAGCTGGAACTCAACGACAATGGGAAGTTGATCCATTGTACTCCTCTATGGCGATGAAGTTGTATTTGAGCTCTCGCATACGATGAAAAACCGCTGACGCAAATGTCGAACTGAGCAGAAATCTCAGCCCTCGATCTGATAGCCATAGCGTTAGTAAGCGCGAAAAGTGGGGGTCGGCTATGGGTGAAGAAATTCTCCATCTTTCTTTAGCCCTATATCACTTTCGTCATCCATTAAAACCGCATGAGTAATTTTAAAGCTTTGCTGTTCCTATGAAAAGTGGCGCTCGCACATTGTGAAAACCTTGTTGCCGAGTTCGGCTTGCACTGTCAATCAATGAAGCTGTATGAGATCTATTTGAATGTCTCGAAATGCCTCTATAGAGTCTTGGCTCGTGGCAAGATTATGCCACCAAGTTGCCACACCACACGATGCGACGTTGTGTATGGGACAAGTAAAAGCGGGCTCTGGGCGTCTCGTGTAAGAGTAGTATGTTCAGGATACGCCCGCCTCCCTAGTGGCCTGTAACGCCCGCTAAGGACGCCAAACGCTTGTTTTCTTCGCCGTACTTTATTGCCTATTTACAGCGGTCTGCCTCGCTTGCACGAGGATGCAGCCGTATAGTAGGACAGTTGTAGCGGCGGCGGTAACCTCATTGCTAGTTTAGCCATATATGTCCAGTGACAAAGCTCATTAGAGTGAGTTGTTTTACTGGCGGAAGAACGCACCCGTTGTTGAGCAGTAACTAGACGGTTCCGAAAGGAAGAAATATACAATGGGGCCTAGTTGTTTAAAGTACAGATCTCCACTATAACTTATATAGCAGCTATTCGGAGTGGCATAGTTGGTTCTGTGCTTGATCTGTGTCGATTAGTTCTTTCTATAAACTGATCTAATGTATTATATGCCATTTATAGGTTGGTTGATTGTGAACAAGATATGCATTAGGTTATTAGAAAATATCCCTAAAAGATATTCAAAGTAATACAATGTAAAAAATATATATATATATATGAAGGCCGTTATTTAGCAAACAACTATCGGACTATTGTTGACTAGAGTAAACTACAGCTATAGTCCTGATTGAACGTCTGAAAATGTACGATATCTTTAGGGGAATGACGCCGAGCATCTGTATACTAGAGGTAGGAGAGGCAAGATGCCTCCTTCGTAATCGTTCTGCTGTTTATACCTAGGAAGTATGGTTCAATACGGATTATTATTTGCAGAAGCCATCAACGAAAGCACCGAGTTCAAAGTAAGATAGGGTTGAATTATTCAATTCAAGATAGCAGTGATTGATAGCATTTTGATAACGTACTATGCCAATTTGGAACGATTGCTTGTAACTACCGGCTGCCAACACTAGGTTCTTTAGACGACTACTGTGTTTGTCTCCCATTTTTAAGCTAGGCATGGGTACACAATATGTCATAATGAATTCGACTTATCGTTACATCTCTTCACTAACAAACACTTTTTAAAGATGTCTGTACAATTCTATTTCTAACTTTGCAGCATATGATTGTAGAACGATTTAGACATGTTTTGCATTACATCCCTTAGCTGTTCGGTTGTCATATAGCTTGTGTTCACACATATATATATATATGGCAAAGTTAGAACCGTGGCTCTTTTTTTATGGATAGTGCCGTTATAATACTAAACGACGTCAATAAACGATTGTACGCATTTCGTAATTCAAATCTATACCTGCTGTACACAACCCTTAATATCGCTTCCGTATCCGGCAAGGATTAGGCATAATTCAGTTTCTTAGTCTTTTCCAGCTAGGCATTTAGATTAGATATGCTTCATCGTATATATATATATATATATATATACGTACATTCTTTGTTACAGATACTCTTAGTCTGTATTCTCTGTATGGTTCGCCATAGTACCAGGCGTAGTCGATATGCCGTCACTAGTGAACTTTCAAGGACTCAAAGGAATCCAGTAATTGGCAAAAGGTCGGACTACGACATAGTGCCGCCTCCAAAACGCCTAAACCGTGTCTGAAGATGGGCTTTTTGTCCACTGTTTTTTGCACTCACTTGCCCTTTTTACATCTATGAGGTTGGCAACACCTTTCGGTTTTCCTGCTGCCAATGAGTGAAGCGCGGAAGGTCTCCCATAGCTGAGCGCTGAATGGATAAGGGCCACGTTGGCACAAGCTTGGCGATGTGCTCGGTAGATCCGGGGTGCAAGCATGACAAATGATCAACGCTGCAGTAATCCTCAGACCCCAGAGGGAGCCACCAAGGTCAAATCCTTGACTGAATTTTTACCCGCAACGAAAGAAACTCGGTAAGGCTTACATGATATACTATAAAGCATCGTCTGATTCTGTTCCCATACAAAATCTGTTTGATCGTTAAGTTTGATCGACGTGTCCAATGTAGGAACGGCATGGCAGCCAATGAGGGGGACTGGTCGTAAATGGCTGAGATTTGAATAACAACAGCTGAATTAATTTCCAAGCTTTCCAGCGTATTGAGAAGTATCATTTTTTACGCGATGAGGATTAGGCTGAAAATGTGGATACTAATTACAAATTAAAACTGGTGTTCGTTTTGTCATACTTGCTATCATAACATTTAAGCAAGTATTACTTTCAAAGGATTCCGCTATGATAAGTTCCACATTTGTTGTTTGTATACCACATTGGTTTTTAACTATACGGAAGCGTATCTTCATATACACAGATTAGAAACGGTATTATTTTTGTCTTTGTCCGTTTTTCACTACAGACGAAAATCGCGAACATAATTTGGCTTCGCTAGATGAAGGAGCAATGCGCCATCATGACTCTATCATTGTACGTTAGCTTATGGGATAGCTTGCTCAGTCGAATGTCTTTGGAAAAAGAACCTATTACCAAGATCCGTTTTAGTCATGAACGAGGAAAAGACTTACCAATATCTTTCAATGGATAAGTTCAAATTTGATCTGGCTTTGTAGGCTACCACTTTAGGTGTTCGATGCTGTATATGCAGAATGAGATTTTCTACTATTTGAACTCCGCCTGTGTCTTCCTCTTCCAGAGTGCCAGCAATAGTAATGTTTTCTTAATCTGTGCGTTCAGATACTTTTATTTCGGACAGTTCGAACGTTATCGGCAAACATAGCTTTGTGTCGTTATGAGAAGATCTGTATACGCACCGCAGTCTGGTCTGTGTTGACAGAAGCTATTACGAAAAAGCAAGAAGACAAAGCGCTTGCTCTAATATGGCCGGTCGAATCAAGGAAATCGTGAACAGTCGCGACGGTATAAACAGGCGCGTTAGAGATTCCATAGATATGTATCCGCAATTATTTAAAACATGGGTGTCTACTTCAATTGAACAGTATCATCCTGGGGACGTTTCACTCTAATCAGCTTTCCATGCCTTTGTTTGTTTGCAGGTGGCATGGATCCACACGAGTCGCCATATGCTCATATCAATGGAACGAGTCTTGGTAGCCACAGATCCCCGATTTTCTATTAACTCAAACGGAGAGCGCACTTGGTATTTGACCATTTCGCCAGTTCAGGACGCCGACAAAGGCGAATACATGTGCCAGGTGAACACCAACCCCATGAAGAAGATCTTTGGCTATCTCCATGTCGTGGGTAAGTGCGGAAATTTCCAAAATATGGGACAATCTGAAAATCTAATTGTTATCATTCAATTGTTAAACGTTCTTTCCCAATAAAAGCATTTCCAATACTGATCTGCAGCTTACAAGGTGTACTATTCAAAAGTACTATTATAGAAGATATTGATAAATATATTTCAAACAATAGCAACGATGTAGGAGACAGACAAAAGCCAGTAGTCTTCGCACAAGAGTTGACTAACAAGTTATTTAACCTGCAGACAAGTATAGACGCGGACTTAGTGTTGCAAAAAGAACAACAGATAATTTGGGATTCGCAGATCTTCGTAAGGTTAGGCCTTTTGCCAATGTGACACTCCCCAGTCTCCATGTCATTCTCAACGATGACCCCCGAGATTCTCAATCGACGCTGAGCTAGGATACCATCCATTATTCAACCGTAGCGTGCGGTAGGGCAATGTTGAGGGTGGAGAAGCGGCGAGACAAACGCATGTTCCATCGCCCCCTGGAGACCAATGACGGATATGCGGCTGGCCCCTTCCCCGAACCCTAAGAACCCCACATCGCTTTATTCACCACCCTTCGAGATTCTTCTCCTTTCGGTAGATTTCATGCGATACGCAACGAACCTATGATATGACGAGACTCTTCACATGTTTGAGCGCACGCAGATAGACATAGGAAACAAAGCAGTGAAGGCCCTTGAGCAACGTTTCGCATTTCGTGCTGCAGGTTCTGGGAGGTCAGGGGGCGTGTTCCGTGAACGTGGCAAACAAACTCGAGGATCCTGAATTCCTCTTTAGGTCGCTCCTCGGCAAAAACAGAAAAGAGCCACGTTCACAGTACGCCCCCTATTTCAATAGCTCGTATTCGTTAATCAGCAACTATACTCGGTTACTTTGCCCTCACGTGAAACCTGGAAGGCCAGCTAATATAACTGGCGAATCGACACCGAATTCACGCGTTGCCTTCATCAATAATGCTGATGCAGGCTGCCATATGTGAACTATTTTCATTGTATAATTGTACACGACGGCGCAACATGAATAGTGCACAAATAGACATACAGGCGCAGTGAACAGAAATGCTGGAGTGACGGCCATCATAGCAGCGACATAAACAACAACAATAAATGTACAGAGCGATACACCACGAATGCCCACGACAACTAGCCTTTGCTTAGTACTATAAACAGCTTATCTGTGCGTACGATATCTCCTGCAAAGAAGCGATATATGAGCATTCACAAACACCCATGTGGACAGACAGGAAGGGCGACGACAACGACGGTCGCAGGGCAAACTATCTATCGGCGCACATGCGACACATGGGCACAACGCAACACAATAGAAGTAGAGCTACATACAGGGATAGAAAGGCAAGCGCCCACGAGAGGTTCGTCATCCACCCTTCCAACCGTTTCTATGCGACATTCGCGGGTGCTCAGCTCTCAAGAATAAGGAGAGGGAGCGTGTGTAGGACAGGAATAGCTAGGGTTAATATTCGCATTGGTAACTACAATGGAAGCCATTTATTTAGTAATCGACTCAGTTAGTTCCTGTACTGTGGGGCATATGTACTATCATTAATGACGTATGCGAAGGTGTCTGTTGTGTGCGAAAGAGCTATTGGATGCTGGATTATCGCCAACAGGCTGTGTAACGCGACTAATACCAATGCCTCCGAGATATCTAGAGACCTACGGAGTATGGGGTACTGCCTAACTTGCATAGCGAAACGGTACAAGAAGAAATGTAAAAGGCATGCGGACTGTCGGACAACATCAGCACCCGTTACTAACGCCTCTATTGATATTTGGGCCTTTCAGAAGGGAACGACTGTGGTGAGGCAGAGAAAGGGCATCCCGAAAATGTCCCCGTTCAATGCCCCTTTCAATGCCCGAAAAGGGCAGCATCGTGTAACTATTAGATGGTATATTTTCACACGCGAAGGTTCACGTGTAGAGCAAGAGGACCTGCAAATATAGGGGAACCAGTGGAGTTGGATATAGGAAAGAGGCGTTCGAGACGCTAACAGCCGGTTACCAAATTAATTAGATCTAGCCGTTGATATTCGATAATGCAATTGCAAGGACACAATGTCACCTTTAAGCGTGGACATTGTCACAGATACATACAAACAGATATGCGTGCATCCCTATGTACTCATGTGAACTAGAGCGGACAGGATTAGACAGCAAAAGCTAGCGAGGCCACACGCAACGATGCATTTTAACTGGGTAATACATACGCACAACCATCAAATACATACATTTCATATTTAGGGATCATATTCATAAGGGGCGCCTCCTTTCCGGCCAAACGAGCGTAAGTTATTAGCCTGGCCGCTTTGAGCCGGCTAAACTGTTAAGGAATGAATACATCTATAAATATATACGCATTTCCAAAGCAACGCTCCCGTATAACGCCCGAAGTCCTATGTAACTTCAGTGCATCTTTTAATGTCATTAGAAAATGTCACTAATAGGAACCAAGTAAAAGGAAGCTAAGTTTTCGACTTTCGCAGAACTCAGTACTATAAGATGAATGAAAAAATCGAGACTTATAGTACGAGGCTTTCGTGGTATAGTACTAGACGTTGGGTTTTTACACGTAGCCGCAGACGCCATTAGAACACTGGTTCAACGCAAGTTGATAACCCATTTTTCAGAAATAGAACATTAGCCAAAGCAGTCGTATTTTCATGCGGTTTTTGGTTTGAATATTATGCTTGAATACGGCATCAAGTACCAAACAGATCTGAAACGTAAGAGGGATTTCACAAGTGTTGGCGAAAAGGACGGTTTGCTCTTGTCTGCTGTACAATAAGACAGAATGTGGATAGGACTTACATACTTGAATACAATGGGCCACGCTAATAATTTCAAGACTATGCATATACAAGATTTTGCATTGCTCCTTGCATATGCATAGTAATTGGGTCACATTGAATTTGTAATTGCTTTAGCTCCCAAATCTGAATTATCCTCAGTATTGTTTTTTTCCAACCCTTCACCTGTCACCTGGCCTGGTGGGGAGACATTCGATTGGGAAATTTAATAAATTTTTATATTTTGTGGATGTATTTGTGTAATGAACTAATAATGATAATATAACTATTACAATACGGTAAGCCATGTATTCAAAACAAAGGTGGGAAGCCTACATATCGGGGTGAAAGGGATGAGATAAGCATAAGGAAAGCGGTTTGGCGATGCTATCCAAAATCAGACGTTTCCTCAGGTCGATTGTAAGCACGGAGCCCCTGTAAAAACATGGACTCGCTGCTAGGCTTAAACGAGCAAAGGGAGACCTGCTTTAAACGCTGAACGCCTCAAAAAACGTGGCGATTCGAGTTAAAAAGCAACGAATGATGAGAGATGAAGGCGGATGATCGTATCTGGTTAAGCTTTCCCATAGTCTGGCCAAAAATTGACTCTAGAGAACGTAGTGTTGGGTTGGACCACTTATACCTCACAAGGTTAGAGCCAGGTCCCAATATGTTATCTGGTGCCAGAAGCTAGAGCATCTAGCAGGGAGCTGCGCACAATCTAAGGTCACTGCAGAAAGGTATTATAAATGTGAAGAGGTCATATAAGTAACTAAAGGCTGCATGAAAGATACACCGTGTTGTTGCGCATGCGATGTCGAGGGTCATGGGCCTTGTTTTACGTGGTGCCCAAGACAACGCACAGGCCAAGCGCGGGCCTGTTCAACCCATAGCGGCCGACCGCAGCAGTAGCTCCGCAACTATTAAGAGAACCGACCCAATGTGAGCAAAAGGAAAAAACAAAATTCGCGGAAAGCGGATGTGGTTGATAAAAACGGTTAGACTACTCCTAGAAGCAAACAGACGGCCAAAACCAAGTGATGAATTTGATCGAGCTTTTTCAAGTCAACTCGAACAGGTGTCGGGATGCTCATTATACACTTTGCAAGGTACAGTAAGGCTAAAAACCGAAATTGACAGACTTTGTTGTTAGGCAGTGAATGAAGCACGCGATAAGTATGAGATCACAAGAATCCTAACTGAGTCCCGCGAGAAGGTTGCACTAGGGGTAATGGGTCCTCATTTAGACAAGTGTGGCCGTTGACAGTCAGCCCAGTGGTGGAATGTGTGTATATGGCGGCAACACGCAGAGAATTTCGCAGAATCTATACAAGAACGAATAGTTGGCAGAAGAAACGCTAGACAGTAGGCAAGGAGGCACTAGCTAGAACCTCGACTTAAGCGGAAGACCTCAAGTCTCTTTACCGAAGACTCTACGTATTGGTAAGACGTAGTTAATATATGAAAGGCGTGAGTAAAGAAAGTAGAAAGAGATAATTCTGAATTATCCTATTAAATCGTCAAGATAAACTACGGGTAAAAGCCGCCCGCTAGCCGATAAGGTTAAGTCAACTCCTTAGAGGAGAGCAGTTCCCTAAGGCCTGGGAAGAGGCGTCAATCGGGTTGATTCTGGAAAACTGAACTAATCTTTCAAAACACCTGCTGATTTGTCTGCTGGATGTGCTGGCGAAGATAATGGAAAGTATAGTCACTGTTGGGTTAAAGAAGAAAATAGGAGAGAAAAGGACCCTACCGGGCTTTCAGTGCGGGTTTCGCAATGACGGTTCTACCCTTGAAATAGTCCGAAAGGTTGCACAGTGAGGCACATCACGAACGGACAGAAAAGAACTTTAGGAAGGCCAATTTTGTTTTAATAGTACTCTTAGAGGCCAGAAACGCTTTCAGTAGAGCCAACTGGCAGGTAATCGCGAGGGCATTGGAAAAGAAGGGAATATCCTTTTACCTAAGCTGGATTATCTCATCATATCTGGATAGCAGGGAGTTAGACCTCGGCCACGGACGAAGGCACATCTCAGCAAGGGTCCCCCGGGAATTAGTACTTGGTCCAACTTTGTGGAATTTAGTGTACGACGACGTCTTAGCAATATATGGCGTACCAGACGGATCGAATGCGTATTATACGCAGATGACCTGGCGCTGCAAATGACGGCGGACAAGAAATTG